ATATATATATATACGTGTATATATATATATTTATAAACACACACATACATACAGTATACATCTTATGGCTAAGTAATAAGATTAATAATTGGGGTACACCATGCCTGCCATATTACAAGTCTACTGTATTATAAAGTGTCTACTGATATGCAAGGGATATTTTCGGTTCCATAAAAAGAAAATGGCTGTGGACTGGGAAGATATAACTTACAATGTTAAAATGTTGAAGATAAGTAGATCATATAAAGCAGACTATTATTTCCCATTAAATTAAGTGGAAGAAGATTCCATCTTTCAGCTTTCCTTTTAAAAGACTCAACTACGGAGACATCATTATTCTCAAAGTGCTTGGTAACTGGGAGCTAAATGATTATACAAGAATACTTAGGGGTCTATTCACTATGCTGCCGAGGGCAGCCGAGTGAATGACCGATCAGAAGTGAAGTGAGCCGAACACTGTTCGGCTATTCACTTCAGGCTGGTACGGCTGATTTCAGCCGTACATCGGCTGAAATCCGCCGTATATCGGCCTGCTTTGTGTGGCTTCGGGATGGCCGGCTGCTCGGCCAGCTTTGGCTTTCTGCACGGCTCAGCCGAGCCGATGCATATGCGATCGGCTCGACCGAGCCGCTCGGCCATGATCGGGAGCTGTACGGGCTATTGTGAATAGCCCGTACAACACCCCCTCGGTTCTCCTGAACCGAAGGGGTCCTGGGGCCGAAGCTAGCCGAAGGATCGGCCGAAGCTACGGCCAGATCCCTCGGCAGGTTCGTGAATATACCCCTTAAAGTAGATGTAAACCCAAAAAGCTATAAAAGGTTATAAAAATGTCAACAAGTTAATATCACTTCAAAAGTTGTTTTAAATCTTTTTAAATCTACAGCTTTCTTTAAAAGAATATGTGGAGATCCTGCCATGAAGGTTCTCCCTCCTGTAGTCTTCCAGATCATTGGGTAGATGAGTTAACTCTACTGGCATCAAATCAACAAAAGTTACCCATACATGTGTCAAATGTTGGCTGATTCCTGCTGAACCGCCTGAAATTCGAGCTGTGGGTGACCCTTATGGCACCACGTGGCTCAACAAAAGAAAATTTAGAAACTGAATGAGCCTGGGGAAAGAATTTCAGCCAAACAGTGACAGTGCCCCATCAGATGCAGTCATTGTTCAGGTATTCAGCCAGTTGTAGATGCTGCAGCTGCCTCAATACACTAGCTGTCAGCAGAGATTTGTGTAGTGTGGATGTTTTAATCTAAATCTAGCATAGGCTAGATCACAGCACGGTAAATGCATTGTACTGCAGAATGCACCCCCCGTGCGATTACAGTGCCAGAGTGTGTTGCAGTGAATGGCACCCCAAATATACTTCCCGCCCTCAATGCGAACGGTCACGTCACAACATGTGGTAACGCAGTGCGTTCCAGTGTGGTGTGATTGAAAAAATAGTGACTGTTATCACTGACAGTGAAAGAAAACCCTTGCTTACTCTATCCAAAACGTAGTCCCCGTTCACACCAAGATGTTTTGTCGCTCAAAGCTAAGCAGAAGGAGAAGGAATCCCATCCATTTCTATGGCCTTTTTTTCACACCGGTGGGACAAATCGCTCAGGTGTGAACAGGGGCCATAGAGATTAATAGGATACCTTGTCTTAAGGGTTTTGTCGGGCTTAGCTTTGAGCGACAAAACAACTAGGTGTGAACGGGGACTAAAAAAAAAGTTTGGGCTTCAGTTCTGTTGAGTGTACTTATTCTTTCAAATTCTGCAAAAAGGTATCAATTGTGTTATAACTGTGATGACTGACACTGCCATCTATTTCATCATTAAAAAGTGTTTGAAGACGACAAATGATTAATAGTTCCTTTTATAAAAAGAAAATAAATAATGAAGTCTGACCTTACTACAAGTCATATTCTCAATGTGTCTTTTTCCTGTATATGTTTTTAGACCAAACATGGCCATGCAGCCAGCGATCGTGAATCAAAGCCATCTGGTCGTGTCTGATGCCAACATCTCAGCTTTGGGATTCCCAGGCCCCTGGAGAGAACCTACATTCACAGCAGCTGCTAAAGTTCGTGTAGGTGTCACCTGCTGCTTCTTTCTGATAGCATCATGCAGCAATGTGGCTGTTCTGTGCAGTATCAGTGGTAAAAGATGTAAATCTCACCTCCGGATTCTCATCCTCAGTCTCTCCGTGGCTGACTTGCTGGTTACTCTCTTGGTTATGCCACTAGATGCCATGTGGAATATAATGATTCAGTGGTATGCAGATGAACTTTCCTGCAAGATCCTTAATTTTGGAAAGCTGTTTGCCATGTATTCTGCTGCATTAGTGCTGGTGGTCATCAGTCTGGACCGCCACTGGGCCATCCTATACCCCCTCAGCTTCACCAGTGCTGGACAACGAAATCGCATCATGCTGTGGACAGCTTGGATTGGCAGCTTGCTGCTGGCATCACCCCAGGTATAGGTTAATGATTTGTTAATGCATTCAAGCCTACTATTATAAATTTAAATTACAACTTTAACTAGCAGGTTTTTTTTCAGCTTTTATGGGGTAGAAGGGTTGAAACCTTTCAGGTTTTAATTGTAGTCTGTATCTCTGTTGTGGAGATTGGCTTTTACTTGTCATGTGGTCACAAGGACAGGAAGTGAGGCCGTTTTCTTTCTCAAAAGGGGCTTAGACAGCAATATAAAACAGTCAAAAGTATTAACCCGACTCTACCCAAAACGTAGAAAAAAATCTAATGGTTAGAGTTACACCTTAAACTAGCCTGATTTTTGTGTGTCAGTGTGTTGTTGGCATTCTAATGTTCCCAGAATACACATACTATCGACAGCTATTATTTTCATATTTTTGACTGGTGCTGTGATTCTGTAATCTAGTGAATATTTTCTGTGCTTCATCAGATACTGTGCGGTCCATAGGTGACATCTATGGACCCCAGAGTCAGGTTTCTCAGTACACACTGACCAGCCCTAAGGTGACCCTCCTGCATTCTTGCTATTTCTAATGTCACTATATCAGAGCAACTTAAATTCTGTATTTACTTGCTATACAAAATGAAATCCATCTGTGCAGGCACTAAGACAGACATGGGGAATGCAATATATCAGCCGATCAATCGGTGCCACGTACACTAATTTCATTGGCCTGGGTTTTGTCACATGAGGTGGTATTATGGCACCCAATACAGTTCTCTCCAGAACTATAATATGTTTGCCTCTAATTGGGGGATACTGTGTACGTAGAAATAGTGGTTTGTTCTTTCTAGTGTTTTTAGAATTGTATATTTGTAGAGCAGCATAAAGCGACCGTTTTTAACAGACTGCATTACCCATTCCATTCCTTCCATCACAGCTACTCCTCCCATGAGGAAATATTTTGTTTCAGCTGACTTCTCTGCATTAAAAAAAAACCACAAGAGCCCCCCCATCTAAGTGTAGACACGTTTAATCTTGAAATAGTCAAAAGGAATTTACTCAGAAAAGTAGATATGTTTGTGCGTATATAAAACTCCTCTCAGCAGGGGCACATCAGCCCATCTGTTCAAGCACTGTCCGTCCTCTCTGCCGTTTCACCACCGGCGTCAGGCCCTACTGAAATGAATTTTATACCATTTTTTGGGGACAGATAGAGCTTTATTTCGGTGGTATTTAATCACCACTGGGGTTTTTATTTTTTACTATAATTAGGAAAAATTACAGAAAATTTGGGGAAAAAAAAGTTTTTTTTAACATTATGTTAGGAAACATTTATTATTACCCAGTTTTTTGGTAAAATATAAAAGATCGGGTCACGTCGGGTAAATAGACACCAAACATGTCAAGCAATCTCAGTTGAAAGCTGCAATAAATCCCCCCAAAAATAGACCTTTAGGAAATGGATTGTGTTCTACAAAGGATAACAGTCTGTTCTTTATGCACCAAGTCTGCGCACAGCCATATGTTTTAATTTAATAATCCCTGAACGCGACCAATATTCAGCAATATGTCAGTGTAAAAGGAAAGTTTCTGTAGACTGCATAATGAAGACTGCACTGCTTGCTTTAAATGCAGCTACTAAAAACTAGTTTAGCTTTTTATACATATCATCTAGCTCTAGGTGCCTGCTCTTGGTGTGGATTTTATTATATTTAACCATAAACATTTTGGAATTACAGCACAATATGCTGATATGTATTGATTGCATTACTCACGTTCTGATGAGTACTGATATGTCTTTTGAGCTGTAGATGACGCTGTAGTGCAATGTTAGTTTTCTATATGCATGCTTATCTATGATACACGGGAAGTTCTTTTATTTATGTTTCCTGTACAATGCTAATGTAATTTCCTTCTAACAAGGATCCCAACCTGAAATAAGTCATTTCAGGGAGGTGCCCTTCTCATTTCAGGGAGGTGCCCTCTGTCAACCCCCCCCCCCCTCTGCGGGGGATAGGGGGGCAACAACAAGGAAGAGAGCACCCCCCCTGAAATTATGGCAGATAGCAAAGAAGCTAATGCTTTCCTTGCTATCTGCTGTTTTTTTTTTAGTATTCTGACAGCAGCTTGCCGTCAGCATAAACAAAAAGCATTGGAATGAATAGCTAGATTGCTATTGGCTATTTCAATTTGCAATAGCCAATAGCAAGCTGGCTATTGCACCCGCCCTCTGCTGCTGTCAGTCAAAAGAGGAGGACCTGATGGAGAACTTTAGGACCACCTCTGCTGATTGACAGCAGCAGTGGGTGGGTGCAATAGCTAGTCTGCGATTGCAAATTCAAATAGCCAATCACATTCTAGCTATTCATTTTTATGCCGTTTTTTTTCTGACTGATGGCGACCGGCGGCCCTGATGTCAAGGAAAAAAAAACAGATAGCAGGGAAAGGTTTACTCTGCAGAGTATACCTTTCCGGGAGAAAATGGCCTTGTTTACATCTGCAGGTTTTAGGTGCATTGAGGTGTGTTAGAAAAAAATGCTGCTCCTTTGATTCTGCTTCCATCATAATGCACATTATATAGGGCTCAAGTAACACTTGTATAACGTTCCTAAAACACTCAACGCACATTCAGAGGAAATTTCCCAACGTGAGTGCAAACTCCCTATTAGACAGATGTTCCCAGAACAGGTTTCCCCTTACTGCTTCTTCTGGGGACAGCTTTAGAATTTTGTATTTTCGCGCGGTGACAATGGTCACCAGCAGGCCCGGCGCTACCGCAAGGCAAGTAAAGCGGCCACCTGAGGCCACCAGTCTTTTGATTTATCCTGGAACAAATAACATTTTTGTAAGCCATTGGGTTATTTGTGTTATTCAGGATAGTGCTGTGCTGCCTTCCCTTGTCTTCCTTGCACTATAATAGGTTTTATCTGATGATGACCATTTAGCTGCCTTGCTGTGTTTCTTTCCTCACGCAGGGCTCTGCATTATGTATGTGCTGCAGTTGGTTACAATATGATGGACTTTGATTGAATTGTTAGTGGTACATTTTATAAATATTATATTGGGACTAAAATATTAATCTTCTACAGTATATGTGAAATCGCTGTATGTAATCCTTGGGGGTTGTGATACAATTAGATTTATATGGAGATAATGATTGTACCGGTAGACTCCCATATTTTTTTTTTCCATACACATGTATTTGGAATGTAGGTTATGAAATTTGATCTCTTTTTGATTCTGGTTTTATAGGGGAATCTTTTTTCCATTATGCAATTTGCTTAGTATCCTATTTTTTATATAGTTAAGCTTACCTAGGGCTACACACGTTTTAACACTCTTTGTTCCCTTTAAAACAATCTTCAAGAAGAACTGCGGGCAAAACTTTTCTTAACCTTTGCAGTGGCTACCAGTGATGGAATGTCCCTCAGCATCTTTACATCCTATACACAGTGTATTGGATGTGATGACTCAGGGACCTTAGACCACTGCAGCGTAGGAGGAGAGAGGCTGGAAAGGCCAGTCTAAGAACAAGCTAGCTCTGAAGATCGGGTAAATAAAACTTTGTTATTTTTGCGCATAGACTAAAACGAGCACTTAACCCTTGCAGAAGAAAGGGAGCCCAACTGCAAGGGTTAGGAAAAGTTTTTTTTGCCTGGAGTTCTTCTTTAAACCTCAGCTGCTGTCAAACAGCTTCCTTATTATTCGCTGGGCAGAAGATTTATAGATCGGCCCCTATGAGGGGAATTTATTAAAACTGGAGCAGACAGAATCTGGAGCAGTTGTCCATGACAACCAATCAGCTTCGATCTTTTCTTTTTCAAAGCTAAACTGAGTAAAGAGAGAAGTTGATTGGCTGCTGTGAGCAACTGTTCCGGATTCTCTCTGCTTCAGTTTTGATACATTCTCCCCTGTGTGCGATGGTACGAAAAAGCTATTTTGAAAAGCCATTTATTCCAGGATTTTGGATAGTGGTTATAGTACTGTAGTGAGTTTCAAAAGGTATTTCATAAGAACCATAGATTTTGGGTGGGCCTGAAGCATTATAAAAATATGTGCCATGTGATATTAAAACTTCTCTCCTGTAAACTATTCAGCCCTACACAAGCCAATTGATGTTTGCTTGGTAAGAAAGTTACTGAGAACAGTGACGTAATAATAGCCATGGCATCCCATGCGACTGCTATGGGGCCTGGGGTGGGAGGGGGGTGCCATTAGGGTGGCTGATGAGGAAAACTACACTGTTAAGTTTCCAGTATAGAAGGGCTGGATCGTCCACAATTTTTCGTCTGGGGATCTACTTGTCAAATGACGAGCTCAATGAGATCTACCAATGAAAAAACACCTGCATTCAGGGGCGGGAGGGGCCGAGGTGTTGCATTGAAGTCAATGGCACTGCAGCCATGCCATCGCCCACAGTGCGATCGCCCTGCGTTAGTGCCTGTATTTCCGGTCCAGTGAGATCTGCAAAAATGCTGCAAACACTATTTTTGCAGATCGCACTGGACTGTAACGCAGGCACTAATGTGCCTGCGTTCCGTGTGAGGGCAATCACAGGGGGCCCGGCTTGCGTTCCAGTGTGTTCTAGAGGCCGAACACTCTGGAACGCAGATTTTGTGGTGTGAACCAGCCCTCTCTCTTGGCTGTCTCTTCTCTCCTCGTGCTCTCTCTCCTCGCTCTCTCCCCTGTTTCTATCGGCTGTCTCTTCTCTCTCTATCTCTGCTGTCTCTTCTCTCACTTTCTCTGCTGTCTCTCTTCTCTCTCTCTCCGCACCGCGGGAGGGAGCTCAGGTCAGTGAGCTGATCGCGATCTGCCAGTGTTCGCTTTGCGTTCGACTGGTAAATCGCGATCGACCTAATGGGCACCCCTGATCTGGTCACAGTTCCCCCTTTGTGCAGTAAGAAGCATTTGCTTATCTATCTTAGCAGTGTAGATTTATTGTCCTCTGAACTTCTGCTACACA